GGTTATGTGGTCTACATAGTCCACGTCTCTGAAATCAGAAAGTATAGCTATTAATTAATTGTAAACGTAATCAACATGAAAAGATACGTCAGGCACGGTAATGCACACACACACGAGATCGAAAGTACATAGCCGATCTGAATTTGCTGGTTTCTGAAACTAAATACCCAAGTATAGTTTTATCAATGTGTACGCGGTTTCCAAAAGGATTGGCACACACTTGGTTGTCTCTGAGAAGCCGCATCAATGAAAAATATTGTCTTAAAAAACGATTCCTATATACATGGATTTCCACTGGACTGTAAGGTATATGGCAAAGTTTCAGGCGAGCAATAGGTCATGATGAAACATAAGACTATGAAGACTCTTCAGATGAATGCTCGACTCACCTGTCGTGCATACTCTGCTCTAAAGATTTACTAATGTCATGGAATGTAGGCCGCATTTCAGGATTTTCGGCCCAGGCATTACATATTGTATGCAGTAAAATTGGAGGCGATTCGACACCAGATATCTAAAAGAGATCAGAAATGCAGTAGTCTGGTCTAGGAGAAGTGCGCTCTACAAAAAAGATTGTCACATTATATCTTCTTTTTCGAAAAAAGTTCAGCATTATTTACATACGAAAACAATTCCCGTAAATCATAATTGATTCATTTAGTTTGTGTCATGGAGAAATCACCGAAAAATTGCCTTTGCGGAAGTCTATGGTGCATGTAGCGCATTGCAATTTCTGACGGCTGGTAATTGTCAGTTTGTAAAAGATAGACGTTTATACAATTTTTTGTGTAGATCATACTGAACTGTAGTGACACCTGGGATATTTCATTTTGCCTTCATAAATACCTTTTTCTGCTTACAGGCAAGGTCACAGCAAAGAGGAAATAAAATTGTATTAACATGGGTTCAGTTGTTGCCACTATTAGTAGAACCCAACTCATCACGAATACTAAATTTACTACTGTTATGAATAATCTTGACATTTATTTTGAATACTTACAGCCCTCGCATGCCTGCATAAAAAATGGCAAAAAAATTGCCTTCTGGACTCTGACAGATATTTGGGTTCAAATCCTACAATTTGTGTACACACATCATATGTTCATGATCACGTATAGGAGTCGTTTCAATGCTTAGGAGAAGAGGAGAAATCGTTAAGCGATTGGTTTGAGTTATGCTTATTTTTATTTTCCTCGAAAGCTAACAAGTATTCCTCTCACTGCCGTCCCTCATACCTGATGGTTGATGGTCGACAGTTAGCTCACATTGTTTCTCGTATTTTGGCACTCCTACGCCGTTATCATCCAATGCTGCTTCCACATCCTTAGTATCGTAAACACAGTAAATGAAACATCGGCATAATGGCAATGCAGACCATACTAACCGTTTCCAACTTATTGGTCATTCTCAGTCAGACACAAGCCCTGGTCTTGAACCACCTAAGACTCGAAGTCACGACCTCGTGGTCAGCAACTAAAATCCCTAAGCGTTGAGCCACGAGCTTGAGCCCCAAGTGATACAAGATCTGTGTTTGGAGATTGGCTGGCTGCTGACGGTAATATAATTATATCTATCTCAGTAGTAACTGTGCGGCCGGTTACGGGCCTCGAGGTTAATCTCCAAGGCTAAGCGATCGGGGAGTGCTCCGCTATCCCTGAACGTGATGTTTTTTCTTCCGCTGAAGACATAGGCCATGCCTGACACACTTCCATTCATGCAGCCGACATATTGGAGAAATGTGAGTCAGTATTAGCGCTGTAGTTTTCCGAATAAACGACGTATTTCTATAAAATTGGGCTTGCCAACCGAAACTTTGGGACTGCCAAAATGTTTATTCCGGTTTTCCTGGCTATGCAGTCAAGCCTCTCCTAATGTACAACTCTCAAATACAGATACGCGA